TTCTTTCCCAGAGCGAATCAAGGGCACCATCCCCGTAAGTACTCACGCGAGTTACCATGTACTTTCACTGACAACATCTAGCGATCCCAACGCCGACATGGGCGAGCCACTCACTGCCGAGGAAGAACGTGCGGACGCCAAGTATCGCATCAGCCGTCTCACGTACCACCTGTCGCTCTCCAACACTGCGAATGAGCGCCTACAGGACGCTAGGACTGCCTTGATCGCGGACAAGGAGAAAGTGATGCAGGCAGCGAAGGAGGCAGCGAAGGAGGCCGAAGAGAAGATCAAGGATGCAGAGGAGAAGGTCAACGCTTTGAAGCTCCAGCTAGAGACTTACAAGCAAGCTGCCATCAGGGATGCGATAGCGCAAGAGAAGAAGGTCGCGCAGCTGCAGCTGCAAATGGAACGTATGTCAGTGCAGAACAACGGTATAGCCCCGCCTGCTGCTGTCGCGCCGGCTGTAGTTGCAGTCGCTTCGAACGAGATCGCCATGCTTTCGCCTCCAGTCGCTGTCCCTCCCACTGCCATCGCGATCGGCGCACAAGGTTACAGGTAATCCACTGATAAATCATACGACTGCTATTGTACATGCTAACACGAATCCCTATAGCAGCATCGGTGAAGTATCGTCAAGGGCCTACAACCGCGTCATCAAGTGCAAGCACTGTGCTGCCAATGGTCTGGCATGCGACAGCACTCGCGACAGCTGCGCCGAGTGTGCTCGCAATGGCGCCGTGTGCATTCGTCGTCGTTGCGATCACTTCAGGCATCTTGCGGGATCTTGCAATGGCGGTGCGTGTGATCGTCTTCACAAGGATGATTGAGACCTGAGTGGAATGCATTGTTGCTTCTACGTGGATTGGATACATTGAAGGGTGTATAATAGAGGCTGCATTCCAGAGTGTTGGTGGATAGGTTACACGACGATACCCTGGGATCATCACCGGCGTTCACGGCGTGTAATTTCGAACGTATATAAAGACAAGAAGGATACGTAAAAATCATTCAGACACAAGACAAACTCCCACTACCTCCTTCAAATACAACCTCCAGACCAACGCCAGACCGAAAAAGTGAGACTCCTCCCATGGTGCCCCACCCCCCAAAGCCTAACCAATTCACCATTCAGTCCAACCACAACCATGAAGCTCATCACCGCCCTCGCAATCCTCGTTGGTGCTACCGCCGCTATCGCCACCGAGCCCCTCGAAGAAGTCCATGCGCAAAGCTGCGCCGCTCGTCCATGGGGCTGCGAGAACGGCTACTGTTGGAAGCAATGCGGCGATCCCGGAGAATGGTGCTGGCTGGCTCTCGATGGAGGCAACGGTGGTTGGGTGACGTGCGCAAACGATGGGGCCTGTAACGCAAACAATCTCCCTGGGACTGGATGTCGCGGCGGGTGCAGCTGCTGAGCACAGGAAAGGAATGCGAACGAAGGCGGCTTCTCAACTCCGCTGTATCAGCCCACCACTCATTTGGGCTCTTGGCTTCCAGGAAAGGTATCTAGATAGTGTTCGAGAACATCAATCACTTCTGCTTGAGGGCTTTTCGCGCTACCGTTCCGCATCTTGTGTGCATTCTCCTGCTTCTTTCTTGTGGCTACTGCTTTGCGGTGTGCGCGGCTCTTGACATGTAAAGTCCAGTCGTTTTCGGTGATAGACGTCGTACCGCATGTCTCGCAGACTTTCTTCTGCCAGAGGTCTGGTCGCTGGCCTAAATCGTACTCGCGCTTCGGCATCAGCATTTCTGCTGCTGCTGGCGATAATGTCGAGGGTGAGGGAAGTGGTTGGCCGGAGAGGAAGTGTTCGGTAATGGCTATGGCGGGTTTGGTGACCTTGTCTTCCCATTGAGATATGTTGGAACCGTCGACTAGGAAGGTGGTGTTCTTTTGGCCTGCACTGATCAGTGCATTGAGAAGCTTAATGCGTATCCACTTGATCTGCCGATTGGCGTATTGACGGGTAGCAGCTTGCGTCTTCTCAATGGCGAGGGTCTTGAACTTCTCCAGCTCGGATGCTTCGCGTGAGCTGTTCGAGAGAGCGCTTTGGTACTCCAAAAACTCTTTGTATCCTATGGATACCCAGATACCGCGAGTTTGGTCTATGCTCGCACCAGTATTAGATTCGTGGCGTTCACGGAAACTACCGAGTTCCTCAACTTCAGAAAGCAGACCTCGGGCGATCATCTTATCAACACGGCCATCAAGACGGCGATGCAGCACGTCCTTGTTGGCGTGCACCCAGAACACAAGAGTTTCGAAACGAAGGCCTGACCGACTATCCGATGTTGTGCCATCCGCTTGGACAGCAGAGGCCTCGCGTTGAAGCTTTTGCTCTTTGTAGAGCTGCGAAGCTGGTTTGCCTGTTCTTAGATATATCTCAAGTGACCGCTGGATTTTGCGCCGCTCATTTGGATGCCACCGATCGGCCATGATGGGATCAACTTCCCTTAGCTTTGTGTGCAGGATGTCGGTCGGCTCTTCAAGTATTGGTAGAGGTTGGCTATTCTCATTTAGATTCAACTCGGGCTCATCTGATAGCGCATCCTGGAACAAGAGTGACTGCGTATAGTAGTGAGTGCCACCAACTAAGACTGGTAGTTTGCCTCTACCTCGAATTTCATCGATCTGGTCATGTCAGTAATCACCTGGAATGAACGTCGTTCAGTCATACTGTTCTCAAAGCCTCGCCTACGAATTTCCCCACAGTCCAAGTCTCTTCTTCAAGGCTAATGCAGCCTAGGAGATGATGAGGAACCCCTTTCGTCTCCTCTTGTGTGATTTTATTGGTGATAATAGGCAGTCCACGATACAGTTGCATCGCATCACCGTTGATGATCTCGCCATTATATCTCCGCGCGATTTCTACCGCCAGCTACCTGATGTGGTCAGCAGGATGAAGCGTGACTGAACAACTTGAGCTTTACATCAGACTTGCCAGTCCCTGTCGCACCGACGATGGTGATTAGAGGCTTTCGCGGCGGTTGCGCCATTTTGATACTACTGAATGCTCTTGCGAACCGTAACATGCATTTGATGGGACGACCAGAACGGCTGCCAATGACTGAGTGACGGAAAATGTTGGTTAGCGTCAAGCGGGGATGCGCCTTTCCGCTTTGGCACTAGCATAGTCTTTCAACAATCCATGCATGAATCGATCATCTTGAAATATCGTCACTTCCCACGATCTGAGGTTTATCGATACTCTCATCTTGCGATTTGAGCGAAATAGTTGATATTGAACATTGTGTTATTGACTCGTGCCGGACATATGAATTGGATCGTTCACGAGCGAGTATCGCGTATAGCTATAGGCGAACTGTACGTGTAATGAAACGTGTCTGTTGAATAAGATGGGGTATCATCGTTGAGTGCCGCCCAAACGCCTATTGAAACTCCATCGACACGCATTGTTGAAGCGTGCCGAGATGTATTCCCCTTCACCACCCGGTGCTACTCCTTCTCCACCCTCTTCTCAGCCCCATAACCACCCTTACCCTCCAGATTCTGATACGACGCGCCCTCACCCTTCCCGTTCCTGGGCCCTCGCTCGGTCAAATCTTCCTGCAGCCACTTCAACACCAGCTCACCCAGCTGACTGTTTCCCGTGTACATGCGCTCGCCCTGCTCGACCTTGACATCCATGTCCTCGGTGCTGCCCCACTTCTTCACCTTGCCCAGGCTCATGTGCACGAGATGTGTGGGCCATGTTGCGAGGTTATCCAGGATATGCGTCGCGTATACGATTGTGCAAGGTCTTTCCTCCGTCTCCTTCTTCAAAAAGTTGAGGAAGTTGCTGCGCGATAGCAGATCGAGATCAACGGTGATCTCGTCCAGCAGCAGGATGGTCCACGGTCTCAGCAGACCCATGGCAAGTTGTACACGCCTTCGCTCTCCGTCGGATACGGCGTGCATGCGCCAGCTGAGGTCGATGTCGAGGATGCGCACGAGTTCGTCGCGGCGCTCGGTGTAGTGGTCGCCGCCAATGGAGGACAGGAGGGTGGGCACGTCGATGTCGGTACGGACGATGGGGTTGAGCACCCATTCTAGACCGAGGTAGGTCACGCCCTCAAGGCCCATCTTGAAAGGGTCGATGCCCGCGATGTGGACGGTGCCGGAGGGGGCCATGCGCTTGCCGGAGAGAAGACGGAGGAGCGTGGTTTTACCCGCGCCATTGGCTGTGACCGTTAGTCGAGACCTTCATGGCCAACGTGAGTAGTTGCATACCTCCGATCAAAAGTGTTCTGCTGCCGGGTGGCAGGTCAAGGAAGACATCTTTCAACCCACTCGAGCCATCGGGGAAGGCATAGCAGAGGTTCTTCACGTCAATTGACGGCGCGACTTCCTTGCTGTTGGCTGTGTTGGACATTGTAGCGTGGGATTGCGTGTATAATGGCTGTTACACCGGTGGTGGGAGGAGACTACATTTTGTAGGCAGCTTACGGTGGAGTCACCTCGGTGGGCTAGACTTCCAAGTCGACATGAGTGATGCCATCATTCCGCTGGGGTCCGCACTAGTCCCAAACAGGCAGGCACCGTCCTAGACCCTGACGGCACTTCGTCTCAGCCTCAACTTTTTCAACTTTGTCCTACTTTTCGAACTATCATTCATGGTTTACTGGCATCGGGTCAGATGTGCATGGTGGTCCGGTATGCTCCGCGGCGCTATGTCATCACGCAACTCCGAAATCGCAGCGCATGCTCGCCAACATCACAGCCTGAACAATAGACTCAAGGCTTTCCTTTGATTTCCATATATAACAAAAGATGGACGTGCTGGTGGTAATGTAACATGGCAACGATTTGTAATGCACGAGAAATGTACCAAGATTCATACTGCACGTCTGGTCATGAAGCAAAGCAAGTGTAATTCGACAAAGCTACCGCCCACGCGAAGCAAGAACACAAGTTCCATATATACAACCACTGTCTTCCTCCTATGTACAATTGTCTCATCGTCCCCTTCTACTCAACATGACAGATCATCCTGGCGATACGCTTAGAGAGAAACGCAGCCGGAGCTAGAGTCCTCAAGGAAGAGACCACCGTAGATCTGGCCCTCGTCAAGGTTGGCCTCCTGGAAGCCAGCGTTGGCGACGTCGTCAGTACCAGTGGGCTTCTTGAGGATCCCCATCTGGAACTGGCCGAGACCAGCAAGGTTGACGGACAAAGGTCCGGCGACCTTCCTGAGCTCCTGTTGGCCGGCGGAGTAGAAGATGGTTGTCTCGCTAGAGGGTTGTTAGTATTTATTCTGGACTAGGAGTGAGAAAGAACGTACTTCTTGGTGTAGTCGAGGGTCATAGCAAAGTTCTGCCACTGGGTCTGGTCGATCTTGACGTTCCAAAGCCACTTGCCGGCACGGTCAAGAATCTTGAACTGGTCCTTGTCGGCATCGCTCTTTCCAATGAGAGATCCAGTCTGGAACTGAATCTGGTTGTTGCTGAAGTCGGCAGCCTCGTGCCAGACGTTGAGGTACTCGTGGGTGAGGTTCAAAGGCCTGGCGGAGTCCTGCTTGACACTCCAGTGGAGGGTCTTGACACCCTTGCCACCCTCGCCGTCAGGGGCATCCTTGAGGAACTGGAGACCGGCGCGGCGGAATCCCAGCTGCTTCTGGAAGATGGACTCATCGGAGATGGTCACCTCAACAGCCTTGAACTTGTCGCCATCGAAGCGCGAGGACTCGTTGGGGAACTTGAGGATCTGAGACCAGGTTAGGTTGTTGCCCTTGACGAAGTCGGCGTTGAAGAGCGTGTTGGTGGCCTGAGTATCGAAGGAGACGGGTGTCATGTTGGCAGGGACACGGCCGTCGAAGACGATGGGGCACTTGGGCTCAGCGGCGCGAGTGACATGGGGGTGAAGGGCGGGTGCAGCCAGTGCAGTGGAGGCAACTGAGGCCAAGGTAATGAGCGTAGAAGTGAACATGGTGATGGTTCAAAAGAATGTAGTAGAGACTGTGGATGCGCTGGATGTGGATGAGACGACAATAGTGGGTGGGTGGAGACACTCTTTATACAATTCTCAAACGCGTCACTGAACGCTTCCTTACCCTAAGTCCATCTGAGCACGGTTCATATTAGATGAACATGTCGGTGCCCACGCGTCCGGCTTGTTCCATGGCCGAAATATAGGGATACCCGCGCCTTCATTTGGCGTACTGCAGAAAGTAGACAGCTAACCAATGGCACAGGCAGGAGAATAGTGATGGAATATTCTATAGTAGGCCCGACGACGTCAGGGTAAGGCCGCATTAATATAGGTGAAAGACGCTGCTGTCATGAGGCTCCTTAACCGGGATGTGGGGTAATGTGCACGGCTGCTGGTCAAGTACCGGACGGACCGGCAACCCGTTGCTTTTTAACCTGGGAGTGTTAAGAAGAGGAGTCGCGCCGACTGTTGTACTCGGAATGAGAACGATCTTTTACCGTCCACTGCACCTCAATCCAACTCTTCATCACATCGCGATCCTTTTCGAACGAGACCTACTGCCTTCACTGCCCAAAGCGCAATTTCATGCGTGGAGCAGCAGCGACAACCGACATTTTCAGAAAGCGACCGAATCAGGCCGTCAAACACACCGGCGCCGCCAAGTTTCATCAACACCGGGAATGCGACCGATTCGTAATGATCTGAACAAGCATGGCTGTCAGCAATGGGCTGAATGTGGTTCTAGAGTCGTTCGCGACGCTGGGCATAATGTTGAAATGGAGAGGATATAGTGGTGTCAAGAGTTGGCAGCAGCCGTTCGGCGACGCGCAGAGGGTCCAAGCGGAACAACTGTATTCCACCCACCGGCAGCGGAAAGTCAAGCCTCCGCTCTGGACGAATTTACTCAAAATCGTCCATTTACCTACCACGAGGGTACCTCAAGGGCCGAATGCGCGTCGGGTAGATGTGAAGATGTGTGCTATTATCATATACAGGTCTAACGCCCGCGGTATCATACCGCCTCGCAGTTTATGCCCTGCGTCTATGCTCAAACTCTGTTCATTACATATTCGCCCAAGAAGCTCATCGGCCTGATGTCCATCTTCCTGTCAACATGACGCTTGCTCAACGCGCTGTTTGCGACGCTCCACATATCCAAAATGATGTGCCAACCCAGAACGCCATGCATGAACGTGGTACAAGCAACCGCAACGCCTCCCTATGTGTCACTGGTGTCGAATACATGTCCGTCTCTATACGCTGACGTATGAGTGTTTCTACATCTCTTGAGGGGTCAGCCAGGTGGCTTCGACGCAACCTTCGTAAAACTCTCTCTGGCCGTTTTGTCCCTCGACACCAAAGCCCATGTCGCGGAGCTTTCCGGTGTCCCAGCCACTGACGAACTCGCCTTGACCGCCGTTTTCCCGGTCGACAGCATCGCCAAGCTTGATGTAGTCGGCGTGACGACAGACGGTCTGCGAGTAAGACCATTGGAGGCAGTTGCCGTCATTAGCGCACTCTGAACCGCAAGAGCCGGCGTTGCGGTGTGCGGGACGATCGTTCGGTACGGGCGCTTGCGAAAGGTTATCCCACCACTCCTTCGAGGGACCCTGCGATAGGAAGCCGTGGGTATAGGAGAGGAACGACGAGTAGGTAAATGGTTTCTACGTGATAATGTTAGTCACGTTGCCTGGAAGGGGCTTGATCTGAAGGATGCTTACCGTGTTGTACGGCCGTGTCCTTTCCCACCTCCACAAGTCTTCCATCTGCTGTGGCTTGAGCTGGTGCAGCGAGAGCATTGGCACGCACCACTTGTCGCGTGTGGTGGTCACATCTTTAAGCTTGTCGCTAGCAAAGGTAGGGTACATGGGCTCGAGCTTGTGACCGGTCGCATTCTGGATGGCGTAGGCAAGGACAGCGTCGCCGCGCTGCTCCTCCTTGACCCAGTTCTCATATCGGACGCCTAGTCGGTTTTCGCGGGGGATCTCGGTGGAGCCAGGAGTCTTGCCTGGGATGAGTTGCTTGACAAGGCCCTGGGAGAGGACAATTCCTGCGCCGCCATAGGCGAAGTGGCGGCCTTCAGAGCCCTTGTGCGCCTCGCCAAGGTAGTGTGGCTGCGAGGCGTCGAGCTGGCTTAGCAGGCGGAACAGCGTGTCCCAGAAGAAGTAGACGTCCGACTCAATGAAGACGAACCACTTGGCTGCGGGGTTGGTCATGTATGCCTTGTCCACCATGGGCAGGTACTTGAAGCGATCGAGCTTGAAGGACCGCTGCTGCTCCTTGACCGTCTCGCCGCCCTCGTGTGCCTTCTTGTGCTCGACGTAGATCTGAAAGTCGACATTGTCCTTCTGGTAGCTCTTGGGAAGCTCTGCGAGGATGTCGATGACATGGCGGTCTCCCAATCGCTCTTCCCGGTCGCCCACGATGATCAGATTCGTGATGCAGCTCGATACCGTGCTCAGGTGTGCTTTCGTCTCATGTGCCCCGTCCGATGCGACCTTGAGGACAACCTGCACCTCTTCCAGTAGCTTGGTAGGGAAATTCTGGCAGTAGTCGAGCTCGATTGAATTGGCGGCTTTGGTTTCGAGGGGCGGGAAATACGACTTTGTCTTCGCTTTGTGTACGGGCGCCTGGGGATGTGACCCTCTCCGATGCGAGAGTGTGTATGCAAAAAAGAAAAGAAGGAGGCCGGGGAAGAGAAATCTCCATGGCCGCCGTGCCAAACGGCCAGCCAGCGGTTTCAGCATGTTGCCGTCGCTGCGGCCGTGGGGGATGGGCGGTCGCTAGGGGCCTGGGGAGTCGCCGGTGGTAGGAAGCGATGCTATGAGGAGGAAGGTGCGATGGGCAGGTGGGCGACGTCACCGTGGCACATTGAACAGGCGGTTGGTGTTGGGTGGATGTGGAGGTGTCGACGACGATGATGGCGCATTGGCCCTGAGCCGCCGTCCTGCGCGACTTGCGAATCCAGGCCGGCTCCCTGACACGCGAACCCGCTAGCCGCCGGCGCTTGGCCTTCCCCTTGTGCCTTGGTGCTCCAACACTCCAACCACCTGCAAACCTCAGTCCTTTCATCATCCTTCACCCGTTATTGCTATGCGCGACATCGCCACGCATGTTAGGTGCAACAGTGTCGACATCTACAGCGGGCATGTAAAATGCTGGCGATGACGTGTCCGCCATTCTCATCGACTTCCTGGAAGAGTGGGAGCTATCCGTATCCGTCCAGTGGAATGACCGCTCTTCAAATAGGTTGTACTCTGGGTCGTCCTCCACGTCAGACCAGTTTGGTAAGTCGTCCATGTCAAAGTCATCAAACTCGTCGTGGTCTGTCCTTGGATCGCTGTCTGGGTGCATCGAAAGGCCAATGGATACCAGGAAGAGATCACATGAGTCGGCCGATCGTGTTGTGAATGAAGGCGCGCGCTCCATGTCCGCAGCTTCTCTCTGCCGAGTTGCGTGTTCCCGCTCGACGAGTTGCGCCGAAGAACACGCGAACGACCATGCTGAGGCGCTCTCTTGACTGGTGAGGCTAAGCGTTATTGCGTCCGCTTGTGATTCAATGTCCATCTCCGAAGAATAGAGACTCGGCCTTTCCTGTATGGCGCATTGATCGTGTCGACGTTCGTCTCCAGTACGGTTGCGTTCAATCCTGTTCTCCGGGCCACATACGAAAGACCTGCTCAAGTCCCTAGTCGTACTAGCAAGGCTCATAGTCTTTGGTCGCGCGACGCTTCGTGGAAGACGCCAATCATCTTCCTCAAGTGTATTTCCCGCAGCAAAAGATGAAGACAACGTCAGTCTCTGGCCAATGATACGTAGTTCGTCCAGCGGTAGCCTGTGTACGAAACGCAATATCGCAATATTGACTTGGAGACCTGCATACGCATTCAAATCGCTCATACGCCGATTGACCGTATCCTTTCTCGGAGCGCTGTCGATGGACGCTCCACCCCGCTTCACTGTTTTGGGGCATGTGCGGTCGATTGGCGCGATGGGTGGCGTAGACGGCGACGTTCGCGCTTCGTTGTGGGACGTTGCTCGGGTTTCTATTGTCGAGGTAGATTTGCTGTCGGTGTCGTGTTGCGCCAGAGAAGAGAAAGGGCTTGATTCGCGCGACCCTATGGACTCGCCACGCGCTTTGAACATGGAGATCGACAGTCGACGACTTAGCGAACGAAGAAATTGCTTGACTTTGCCCATCGGTAAGCTTGATATTCGCGACGTAATCTTAACGCTGGTTGAAGAATGAAGTGTTGGTCGCAATCGAGTAATTGCGGTGTAGTATAGGAGATCGACTGTCATAGCGCATTCGTGGCTTCTTTCACAAGTCCGCCGTAACTCCCGCTCGCAATACGTTTCTCGTTCCTCGCACCTGAATTCACCGACCGTAACGATCACGTACGACAGCTATCCTGTCATGGCCTTCCGCTTCACGAGCATCTCGTCGCAATACCACTCCCGAAGCTACACAGTGTATCGAAATAAAGGCGTGGGAGAGGAAACACAGTGGAAATAATGGTGTTAGAAATTAGCTTCGACCGTTTCCCCAATACTCACAGTAGCGATGTGACTTGCGTGAGGTATATAACGTGTGCTCCGTTACTACACTACTCCTCAACCCGAAGACCATACTTTAATATTATTACCACTGACCCAGCCGCCAGCAAGACATCGACCTCGGTCCGCAACCAAGACATCGCACAAAAGTAGTCAAAACAACAGCTATCATACCTGAAAATGAGGTGTCAGCTTCTCTCTACCTCGCTCCTCCTGAGCCTCGTCCTCGCTGCACCACTCGCAGAGCCAGCCAATCTCGTACAGCGAGCTGACAAGCAATCCTGTTCATCAAAACCCCACCCAACTCTAGAAGACTTCCACAAGGCAGCAAAGAAATGGTGCGACGACCACATTCGCTCCGACGCTCCCAATCCTCCTCTCCTTCCCAAACCCGTCATCGACCCTAGCAACAAGCCCATCATGCCACCTCTCACCGCCGACTATACCTTCAAACTGCCCAATCCCGACAAGAAGAAGCCTGACATCTCTCTCGCTGTGACTTTTGGGATTCACGGATTTGCGCCTATTCAGCGTGATGCCTGTTACCTTGGGTTTGGCATGCAAAACGACTGGGATAATGGGCGGAAGAACGATGGAAAGGTGCAGGAGGAGGAACAAATTGAGAAGGGTAATGTATGTACGGGCCCAGGTGGGAAGACACTGGTTCAGGGTTGGGATCAGTCGGTGGGTTGGAATAGTTACGGTGTTAGCTTTAAGTGAAAGTAGGAAGGTTTCGTCTCATAGTAGTCACGGACGTGTAAAGGAGGGTGTTTCTAGTGTCTTGTATCAATTATTCTACAATGGCTTGCCGGGTACGTCCCAGCAACACTATTCGATCTCGCTGCCATTGATATGCCCGGGAGGTCGTCGTTAAGACCTGCAACAACATTTGATCTAACCAAGTGCTGTCATAGGTATATATCCTCTCCTGACCGACCTCTCCGACCACCACAAACCAGTATAAAGTCTCCAAACCCCTACCTTACACCTCCGCGCGACATGGTGATCACTCCGTAGTCGGCTGAAGCCTCGGGGTAATGGAGGGCGGAGGTTCAGATGACTGCTTGACGTCGTCGTGGTCCTCCAAGGTCAATTCCCGAAAGCCAATGTCGCTATGCATCAAGGCGCAGTGGGCGATGCGACATGTTACGAGCTAGCTCAATGGCGGGTGCGACATTAGACATCCGGTGCTAGAAAGTTCGCAATGACGTACGTAGAGTATCGGTTATTCTCTCTCGCCTTCGACAGGGTTATATCCCGTTCACTTCGCCGTCATCTACGCTGCCTATTAATTAGGCCATATATGTCACGTGCATCCTGGGGCGCTAAGCGCCTAGTGGCTCTACCTATCTATATCAGCTCGGTCTGCCCCTCTAACTCGCTCTTTTCTTCTCTAACTGTTATTACTGCCTTCTCCACAGCTCATCGGCTTGGGCTCACTTTAAGGGATTCTCTTACTGATGAGTCACTTCGGATCACACATCGAGGTTTCACGGGATCTTGAGTGCTTCGTTGTGCTGGGGGCATGTGCGAGGAACTGACCAAGCTTCTTGGAATGTTCGCCAGAGATTCATACTTCGATTCGGGTCTGACAGCCCGATCGGAGTCTCGCCCGCAGTGCAGTTCATTTCTCAGGTTAGTTCTCACGGGAACTTACACGCCTGAATTGGTGGGCAAGTCTGATGTGCGATTTGTCGTTTGTACGCAAGCGATGAGTTGATACACGGGCTTGTTCATCTCCGGTCGCCTGCAGCTCTGGTGTCAGCCATGAGTATGCATCGCGGGATGGACCATTTTCATTGAGTACCTTTCCCTAGCGGCGAGGCTTGAGGAAGATGAATACATCTTTACCTGATACGTGGAAAGTAGCTTTCGCATTAAAGAAATGGGATGGGTTGATTATTAACCACTGACGTCAGATACTGTGCGAAGATACCATCAGGATACGCGAAATCCCTTCGTCACTCCAAACTGCATAATAGATGATGAGTGCGACCTTGAATCATTAGTATACCAGGTTCACATGCAACGTAAGCTTTTGTGGACACATCGTTTTATTCGTCGAGGTTTACGGCGACAGTGTTGCCTCATAGCGGCGACATCAACATGTCTACTCACTCCCTGTACATCCAAAGTTTCCTGTATTGATACACGCGGATTTACTTATCCTTCATCATCCGTCTAATTTACCGCCTTGGTGAGCACCCTTATTCGTTAGTGAGGTCGTTCTGTAATAGATGGGAAGCTGAACTTACGAAGTGGTGGTCTCACTGTTTTTAGGGGAGAGCGCCAAACACCAAGTCGAGAAGAGCATGTAGTTTCTCATCCATTTCAGCTTTACCCTGAGCGAGTTCAGCTTTAGCCTGAGCGAGCTCCTCCTGGAGCCTAGCGAGCTCTGTCGAAAGAGCGTCTCGACGGACTTCCGTGGCGTCATTCCTCGCACGTTCTTCGCGGGCCACGCTCTCGATGTCCTTGCGCCAGACACGCATAGCGCGACCTCTACGCCTGAGCTCTCCTAACTTAGCGCGTAGCTCGTCGGCGTTGAGAAGCGAGCTACAAGGTTAGACATGACCGTAGTACAGGACTACAGGGGGTACTTACTCGTCTTGCCCGAACAGAAAACCGTCTGGTAGATCCAGCTGGGCGAGGTAAAAGCGAACCTTCTCCTCGTGGGTGGCCTTGGGGTCTGGAACGCTCAAGTCGTCGAACTCGCAGGCATCTGCATGCGGAGAGTCGGGCTGAGCTGGCGAAGCCGGTCGAGCGCGTGGAGGGGAGTGCGAGCCGGACATGGTCGTGATGATCTTGGTCAAAGACGAAATCGACGAGATTGTGACAGTTGGTGTGAGAAAAACAAACTGTTGTCGCAAGGCAGACATGGGAAGTGGATCCAAGCGCTACTAGGCTACACTAGCTCGCGCGGTGAGTGACCGGGTGCGGTGCGTATACTCATAGAGTCACGTGCCTTCGTGAATACCTAGGTAGGTAGTCTCCACTTGGCTATACCAACCCGGGCGATTATCATCTTGAGGTTACCGAGTGAGCTTTGCTGTCAAGATAAACATCGCTTGTGGCGATCAGGCGCGACGACTCCAGGGATGGCAGGGCGCCTCATTGCGCTCACGATCTCTTATGTAGACCGCCAGGCCGAAGTATCGCCTAGTCGTCGATCGTGGAGGAACGACACATCGTATGCCGAGGCGACGTTTGGAGTGGGTATCTTGCGTTGATAATCCGGTGAGATCCTCCTGGGGTGATTCTGAATGTACAAACAGACACCATGTACATGGTTGTGGACTGCATCTTGTCATTGAGGTATCGTGGTTGAGTACCATTCCGACGAACCGCCATTGCAAACCATTGTTATCGACTTACTAACCCACTAATGTACACATCTGAAGTATCCCGCGAAGACTTCAAGCTCGAGTGCGAAGCCCGGGAGACTGCATCTTGTGATTAGTAGAGGTGGTGTCTTCGGTGTGGTTGGTAAGCTTCCGGCTATTCCTGCCAATCAGAACGGCCCCGCTTCCGGTACTGAGGTAGCCTACATCATCACCAGTTGACATCGCCTTTCCTATGTGCGCACGAAATCTCTTCAGCAGCATTCGACGCCACTTCGTCTCGAAATCTCATCGCAAATCCAAACTCGAACAGAAGACACTTAGTATGGCAAACACCAGCGAGTTGCGTTTCCACCAATATCCCACTATGCGTCTGGTAATGGTCAACTGACAGATGCAGTCTAGTACGACTAGCACAGAGACTCGTTCGAGATGGACCTTGCAGGATAGAGCATACAGCACGTCGCGTACGGGGCCTTCTCAACGGAAGTTATGCGTTCGATACTTTGAACGCGCACCATGTTTGGGAACTGGAGTTACGTTACCCACAGTATGGACGGCTTCCTCATCCGTATGCGCTTGCTGTGCTGAACATACCAGATATTTCGTACCCGTTTCAAGCTTCACTCCCCACGCCAAGCTATCGCGAGGCTCCGCTGTAGACGGCACAGATGGTGGCGCGCACCTAGCGAGTCTTACAGTCGGCAATCGCAGTAGCAATCGCATCCTCATCTTCAACACCGGCAAGCTCAAAGATCTCGTAAAAGTCGACTTCCGAGCTGTTGATCAATGGTTCGAAGAAGACATGGAGATATATGGCCATCCCAAAGATCCCTACAAGCGCATCGACATTTTACCATCTTCTCGAAACGTCAGGGTAGCCGTCGACGGCGTTACACTTGCTGAAAGTTCAAACGCCTTGTTCCTTTTGGAGACCACGTTGAGGACTAGGCATTACTTGCCACCGACGAGCGTCAATTGGGAGTATCTCACACCCAGCGACACGCTGACTTTGTGTCCGTATAAGGGTCGCGCGGAGTATTACAACGTCAGCGTTGGCGGCAAGCTGTATCGGGATCTTGTATGGTACTATAGATACCCAACTTCGGAGAGCGCGCCTATTGCCGGACACATGTGCTTCTATAACGAGAGAGTGGAGGTTTATGTTGATGGCGTGAAGGAGACGCCTTGAATGCGGCTGTCCACGCTCTGCGCATGGGTACAAAGTAGATCCCTCGTCAATATCTATGCGATCTTTCGTGCCGCGCAGCTGAGCGTTGAATGAGGTTGTGTACGTGACGCGAGACCGTATGCAGGGCGTTGATGACTTGGGGTCTGTAGTTGCGACGAAGCCGAACCCAATCTTGCATTGTCCGACTCTTCTATCCGCCTGCACCCTCCCATACCTCTCAATTGAATGAGGACTGGGGTCAAAAATCTATCCTTGTGCCAAGTTGTGATGAGCTGTGAAAGGAAACAGGAGAATTTATTGCTGTACGGCGCAGCTGATGCACGGGAGTCACCTTGCCCGTTACGTGTATATTCCAGCTGATAAGCCGGCGAACGTCCGGACAGCTATACACATGGCCATATCCTATTGCTGGCTATTGCGGTTGCTGGCGAGCTGTCCATCAACACTGAAGATGGAAAGAAGCCTCCAATATGTCAACATCATTGACAGAACATATAAGGTTGCCTGGAGAGCAATGGTCGGGTGAACCACGGATCGCAGATCGAGATGAAGATTCGTTATGGTCGGTGCTGCCGGAGCGCGCCAGCCTCGCAAGTGCAGCGAGTGGAGCGATAGTCTCTCCGCCCAGCTACCGTCCGAAAAGCAGACACTAGTCATGTAAAGCCAAGACATATCCCGGCGTGATTCCGATATCTCCAGTGCTAACTGCTTCGAGGCGTGTCTGTTAAACGCGAAACAATCGGGAGCGGCTGGATGGCGCGACGCCTTGGCAGGGGAACCGAGGGGGAGATTGCAGCTGCAACGCCACATGGTCAGCATTCAGGTGCGGAATCCAGCGGCAATTTGGGCACCGCATTCTATACTGGTAGGCATGGTGCAAATGTTGTGTTGCGAGAGCGTGGAGTGTTGGGGTGAAGATGGCAGGCCTGACTTCTTCGAGTGCCGTCAATCTCCGCCGTGCTTCCGACTCGCAGCAAGCGGCATGAACCCCATCCTACCAGCATCACCGGTGCATCCCACCACAACAGGAAAAAAACTGTGCGCTGTCCCACTTCGTATATGCATCCTTACTCAGGCCATTTTGCTTTCATGTCATGCGATGCTGACGGCGATAGACACCACCGCTTGAGGTTGTGGTATCTACAAAGATCCGCAACGTTGCGTGCATCTTGGTCTAGAACTGCGAAAAC